CAAAAAAAAGTTGAATATATATAATTTTAACTCTTATGTATCTGAGGTGCAACTGAAAATTCAAATATTTTTCTAGAGGGCAGGGGGATACAACACATTATTGTGACTAGAGTCACGTAAATTAGTTTTCAGCTTTTTGGCTTTTTTTGGTTTTGTTAAGAGCAGCTGGATCTGCAAATACATTTTCTTAATATCTGAATTCTGTACATATAGTTCCAGAAATGCAGTGCAGATTTAAGGTTTTTATTATTATTTTTGAATGGGAAGCTTACAAAAAAAACAAGTAGGAGAGAAGTTTTTATATTTTGGGAAGAGCTCTTAGACAATTTTAACTTGTCTGTATATGAGATTACTCTAGAAGCCTAGATCATTTTCACTCACCTTTCAAGTTAAGCAGAGTGTCATCGTATGCCATCATCACCTGGAGGTAGGGCTACCAAATTTCTCTTGAGTTTCCAAGAGGAAATAACCCAAGCTGCTGGGTGAGCAAGCAATAGGAAAGGAAAATACTTTGTGAAACCAAAAGATTAAAATAAATCAATAAATAAAAGCATTAGCTGTTAAAGCAAGAAAAACTGCTGCTAAATAGAAAACTACACCTTGAATCTCGTGCATGTAATTAAGCCATTCTTTTACAACTCTATTTAACAATTTAAAAAATTGTTTTGCTTCACTGGCCACTGCAAATTTTGTGACATGAGTCAGGGCAAAGGCAATGTGTGTTTTGGAGCTGCAGCCTAAACATGGTTTTCTTGTTTGTCTGTTTGTTTGTTTTTAAAATAACATTAACTTTAGGAATTTTTTTCCTTCTCTCTACATTTCCTACCTGCCCGACTGCCCTGAAGATTTTGCTTGACCAGGCAGATCTTCACTAACTGGAGATATTATGTCAAACTGTATAGGAGTGTCAGGGGCAACAAGTGAATCCAAGGAAAGTGCGAATAAAGCTGCTGATTCAGATCCCAGTGACCCTGTGCTGCTAGTACGAGCTGCAGGAGGACGAGATTGTCTAAAACAAAACAAAAAATCAAAATGAGGATATCTTCGTTTCAGGTTGGTTGATAACAAGTTAAACCATATGGGAGACCACTACAATATTCCAAAACCTGGATGTAAAACAAAACAAAAACTAAACACCTGAAGATCAGGGTATAGTAAACAGAAATGGAGTCTACGTTCCTAGTCAAATTGAAGGAAGTTAGAGTTACTACTTGCATTAATAATTGCATCAGATTGTATTATATTTCATATGTGATTATATATTCATGTTAAAGCAATCTGGGGTCTGCTTCCAGGAGTTGGACACATTAAGAAAAATCTCATTATGCATTCATACAACAAACCAGACATATGATACCACCAACAAAACTGTTGAGTCAGCTGGAAATCTGGATTACTTACAACAATGGATGCTAAACAATGCTAAAAAGGTGAGTTCAGGAAATTTTCCTCTAGCTTATCAAAAGATTTAGTTCTGAAAGTTTTGTTGTTTGGTTTTTTTTTTTCCCCAGAACTTTATCCAGGATTCTCTTTATAGATGTGCTCTTCAAATGACCTGTAGTTCATTAACTTACACAGTTGGCCGCATGCTCTCATGCCTCTGCTGAAAGGAAGGAGATGGAGTAACAGCCTCCAGAGCTGACTGATTTACACGTGCAGCAATTTCCTGCAGTAGAGAGATGGGAAAAAATAACTGAAAACATTTTTCTCAAAACAAGCTTCAAGATTTTAGTTTTATTTATATGCAATTGACAGAAGTTATAAACTCAACCCTTTGTGAGAATCTTACATTCCTCAATTTTCACTAACACAGTTGTAGTATTTTCTTCTAACTTGCAACACATTTCCTGCTGTTCTCTTTCTAAATTTAAATGAAAGCACTTGCTTTATAATACTGCAAATGTTGATAAAAGCCAGCAATAGAGAAAAGTCCCCATGGTAAGTCTGACAAAATAAGCAAATGTAGCCAGGAAGAAAAAGAAAAATCTCATTTGAGAAATGCAGTCCTCAACTGCTAACTAAAAAACATGAAGATTCAAAAGTCTGCACTTGAAATTTGGGAACACTTAGATGTTTCTGAAAAACCAAGACATGAACAACTATCAAGTAAGGACTACGGAACAATGTTATTTCAGCAAATAATGGGACCATTTACTGTTGAAGAATTCCATTTTAATCTTCCATTGAAATCCCTAATTCTGAAGTATCAGTATTTAATGTTGATGGCTTCACTTCATGGGGTAAAGCCAATAGTGAAAGTCCTTGAGGAAAGAGGATTTTTGGAGAGGGAAGGTGCAGGAGACAAAACAATGAAGAAGCAACATTTTGTGTGAGCGTATGACTCAGAAAATGACTATAAAGCCATTGGGAAGTGAGGAGAAGGCACTAACATCGAGGTGTAAATGCACACACCTTCAGTGATGTAAGGGAGCTGCACCCATTTCATGCCAGGACTAAACAGAACCTCAGCTGTATATTCATCAGAACATGTGCTTTAGGTAACTGAGCTCTGCACTAAAACTATTTTGTTTCTCATCTGTATAGTTAACTTAGTCAGTCAGCTAGGTACTCATATTATCTACAAAGATCTATTTAGTTCCTAAACCAAAAACTGGCATAACATCCTTTCCATTCCAACTTGATCTTCCAGATCATTTGGCAAAAGCCTTGTGTTATATAGTGGATTCCTGTATTATTCGACAAGCTGCCTGTTGACTGCTGTATCTACAGTTCTTCTCTCTGGTACATGATCACTGGAAGGTTTCCTTTCCAATAACCTGTTTCAGACCTCAGCAGGGACATCAAGGAGTACAATTTCACTTTCAACACACTTTATATATAAATGCTCTGTTATAAAGCAACAGATTTTGTTGGGCCAATTCCCCTAATTTAGCAAGTAAAAATCACTATGTAAGTTTGTATCAATATGAATTTACAATATAAATATAAATGTAAACCATATAAATGACATTAATTTACTTACCCAAATTCTCTACATGAAATAATCCATTTCTAACTCTTCAAAAGGCAAATAACTTTCATGAAGTGAAAATGTTTTTCCTACAAAATCGCTATGCTTGTAAGATTCATATTCATAAGATTGTCAGTTCCCTCTAGTAGAAATTAAATGTATCCATCTGAATATTTGTCATATTTGTAACAAAGTATCACATACAAAATACAAATACAGGATCTTGAAGATGTCAAAAAGTTATACCAAATCTAAGTCACATATTTTTAAGGCTTCCTATGTAAGTGTTTAGATGAAGGAGACAATGGACTGTATGCTTTCATACCATGAAAAGCTTATAATTAGACATGTAGGAAGTACTCAGCTTAATTCTATGCTATCCAATTAGATCCAGTTGATCTCTCTAATTTTGTGCATATCTACATCTTAACACATTACTGATACTATAAATTTTAGTAAAGTTACCTCAGGGTTTTCACTTAGATATATCTGCTTAGATATGTTGTTTATGGTGCATATCCACTGAAAAAGAGAGAAAAAAAAAGAAAAAAAAATTAATTTTTCATAGCTTTTTAACAAACTTGATTAAATACCTGAGTTGGCTAAACACAAAGATGGCTAAAAGCACTTTTCACACTTTCTTCGTAACTACAGGGAGCCAAACCAGTATTCTGCACACCCAGCTTGTCATTAAATTCACTACAATCTGCATACTGCACCTTACAATATCAGATTTTACTTGAAAAAATTTTTAGTCACACTAAAGATCAAAACTAAAGCAAGCTTAAATCACGACTCTAAGGAACTAAAAAAAACCAAACATGATTCTCTGTAGTCCATTATTCTGTGACTGCAGATGACATTGTTTCCTTAAGACATTATAAAGACTCCATCTGCCTTTTGTGGAATTTGCCCATTTCTTGCATCTGTAAGCTAGAATCTGTTTTCTCCCTGCGCTATGAAAACCATCTGCTCCTGCTCCTTGCTTTTCAACTTTTCTCTGAAGGAGAAAACTAACTGGATTATATGCATACTGCTGGTGCTGCTCCACTGAACCCAAGCTTGTTGTTAGGGTTGTCACCTGAGCTATCTAAGACAGCACAGCAGCTGCAGCCCAGAAAATCACAAATTTGAGCTGCTAAAGCTGACTATAAACTCCCTTCCTCCAGTGAGGCATCTGAGGGCAAATGTTTCAGAGTTAGGCTATTAGACAACCTCAACAGAGCAACTGAACCAGGGCCGACCTGACACAGCCCAGCCAAAAACCTTAGAAACAGCATAAAAGGTCATTTTATATCAACGTAACATTGAAGATTGCAGAGGAATTTGAATGCAGGCTGAAAATACCATATTTTCTATATTTCCTTATCCAGCTGCTTGCCCAAACATATTTTAAATCAACAGTGCTTTTAAAACATTTTCTTTCCCATCCCGCCCCTTACTGAAAAGTCTATGTTGAATTATAATACAAACAGACGTACCTCTTTCATTAACAAATACTTTATATCACTTATTATATCTGTTCTTTTGTTTCTAGACAAATCTGACTGTATTCATAGACTACGTCATGAATCTATCAGTCTGGCCCATCTGTGCAAGCCTTCGGAAAGCTGTAAAAAGCTGTCCAAATAAAACATAAATTCTAATAACTAGAACCTTCTTTGTTAGACCAGTACAAGGCTATAACATTAGGCTATTATTTGCAAAACGTCTAGAGAAACATTTTATTTTCACCTCTAGAGAAAGCTAAAAAAAGTAGGGAAAAGATATCCCTGCTGGTTGGGTGGGGTTTTTTTCCATTTCCTTTCCTCATCAATATTTGCTACAACATACAAGCTTGCTGACCTAGTATTTGAATACTGACATTTCTCAGCTGGTATTCATCCATTGCACAGGCAAGTAAATCTGCATCACCAGACTCAGCAGCCATTTGGAAACAGCAATCACAAGCAGCTTTGAAAGCAGTCCAAAAGCAAATTATTTCACATTTCTTGATTCAACTTGTTCATGAAGTATAAACATGTTTCCCATCATGCATCAGGGGCAGAAAAACAGTTTTTCCTCGTTTCTCAACCGCCTGTATCATTATCTGTGTCCTAACCTAAGACTTCCTTTATTTTCCATTCCTGACAAGCAGGTAGGAAGAAAGAAGGTTAGGAAAGCATGAACAGGAAGAAGGAGAAGCAGCATTTGTCAAGATTCCATTACTGCTAGCTATTTTGCTGTGAGGGTTGGTTCCCCCCCCCCCCCCTTTCCTTCTTCCATAATACTGAAAAGGACTTGATGGCAATCAGAACTGCATTTTTTTCTCTAGGATTTAAACACAGAAATAGTTTGTCAGTCTTCCTGAAACCTGTCATCATGGATAGAATGAGTTAAAAGTTCACTGCTTACCACCTAGAGAACATAAAATGAGCATTCCAACTATTGTTACGAATGTATTCCTTCTGTGCAACAGAAAATCATTGGACTCCATGTGAACCTCCTATAAGCTTACCTCTTCATAATCTTTTTTACTCTCTGCCTGTAAGATTGACGACCTGAAAGAGGAGAATGGAAAAGACAATTTTGTCTATTTAAAATGCCTCACAAATACATTCAGACAGGAAACTCCATTTTCATGTTTGTACACTGCACAACAAATTAAGAAAGGCTGAAGATTCTGTGTACATGCTGAGTGCAGTCAACATTTAACTGGGGGGGGGGGGGAAAGAAAAGGAACAAAATTCTAATTGTGCCCATGTAATACTTAAGCACTCACAAAATGCAACAATACACGATTGTAAACTGATTATGCTAATTTTATTCTGAAATACTACTCAGCTACATTATTGAACTTATAAACAAAAGCCCAGACATTACAAAGTTAAAAAGACATCCCAGATTTTGCTTCTAAATCCCCACAAAATCCATCAAGCTATAATCTGACCAAAGGTAGACCATCTTTCTTTTCTTAATTAGTGAGTCCAGTATTACTTACAAGTAACAGTAATGTAAGAATACTTACTTTTTGCCATCAAAAGATGTTATCTGAAAACAGTACCGTCTGTCTTCACAGTCCACAGCCATTACAGAACAATTGTCTATATCCATGACAAGTCCCCCAGCTACATCGCCTCTTGCCTGGCTCATCAGATTTCCACCTTGAGTGAAGTAAAATTGTCTCTCCCAACTGGAAGATACCAGCCCTGTCTTACTAAAAGACAAAAGGAGGCTCTTAGTAGATTAGGAGTTCAGCTGAGCTGAAAAACACTTGGAACAAACCATCTGGGCACTTAAGAAAACTTTTTTCCCTGTTTAATGTTTCAGGTTAGCTTCACAGCTACATTAGTCTCTTTCCGTCTGTTGGTTTTTTCATGCTAAACCTATTGCTGGGCAAAGAATACATAAAATAATAATAATTGCTTTCTTAAATTATGTGAAACAATTTAGAATAAAAAGGCATAAGTACTTCAGTTTTGATCATCAGCTTTTATGGTATTGCTTTACACAATATGCATATTCAAATTATATGCATTATCCATATGACTGATAAGACCTCTGAACTCTGCACTTATATTGTTAAGACTAAGTTTTGAAGAACTTTGTGTTAAGAATTATTCACGTAAGATACCTCAATTTTCCAAGTATTTTGTACCATTCAACAAGATTTCCAAAATTTTGCTTAGAGCATGTTGGGTTTTTGTTTTGTTTTTTCTTTTTTCCAACAGAAAGAGGAACAATCTGAAACCAAAAATCAGTAACGCTTGCAGGTTAGCCTCCCTTTTTGTTCAGATACTCTCTTCAATATTAATTGCTGCAATTCTGTTCTACTACAGAAATTCATGCCTCATTCAGCAAGTATGTTACTCTATCTGTTGTTGTAAAAGTAATCTACATTTTTTTAAAAATTCCTTGGAGCTTATTATATAAATTACAGAAAAAAAAATCTGTGTTACAACTTATTTTTAGTAACTATAAAAATCAGCTGCTAGACTTGAATAAATAAAGTAACAGCTCCCTCCGGTGGACAAAAGACTACCTCATGAAATTGAGAAGGCCATGCAAAGTGTATTTCAGTTAACAGAATGTTTTGCCTTGCGTATCTCAAGCTTGTCATAGTGTATTAGTAACTTGAATGCCAAAGCTTTAGATACTTATAGAACAATCCTGATAGCTGCAATCTTGTTGTTTTCCAGTTACAATCCAGTGAAATTACACTCTCGTAAACTTGTTCTTTTTGATGTGAAAATTCAGGCAAAATTAGACTAGAATCAGGATAACTATGCTTTGCACCTGAATGTCAGTGTAACAATGAAATCAATACTGATTAAGTGAAGGAGTCCAAAGAAAGAAACAGAATAGCTCCTATGTGACTTACTCAACTAAGTATGTAAAATCAGCATAGCTAACTTCAAAAAAATATTGCATACTTTAGCTTTCCTTTCCCCAAATTAAATATTCTGGAATTTTTAAGTAACAAGTTAGTCTTACTTTCTTGCATTGAGATAGCCAGCTTTCCGTGTTAGATTTCTATGAACAGGAAATTTCGTAGTATCAGGATCAGGCAAATACAGTGGATCACTAGCTACTTCCAAGTCTTCTATAGTTTGTTGCATGTTTTCTACTTCACAGGATCAGGAATACAGTGGATCACTAGCTACTTCCAAGTCTTCTATAGTTTGTTGCATGTTTTCTACTTCACACTCCATTTCCCTGCGAACACTAAGGTAAATAATGTGTTATTAACAAAGATAATTTATTAATAAGTAGAAACAGAAAAAATAATTGTCTTGATAATAGTTCAAAATTCAACAAAACCAACTTACTTCTGTACACTTGTGCCAATATTGGTCAAAAATTCTTCCAATTGCTCAGTAAGATTTTCTGAACCCATTTTAAAAAAACTTATCTTTCAAAAAAGAAGAGGAGGAAAAGGGAGAATTTAGTCATTAATAAAACTACATTAACAATTAACAGATGAAACCATAGGAGGTTAAAGTTTCTCAGGGAAATCTGTTTTCATCCCTCATTCCCACCAAAGCCTCTCAATAAAAGGAGCAGAACGCATGTTTTTGTCTGCAAGTGAAGGTTGATGCTGCCATTGCAGTGGGATTTCATTGTGTCAAGAGGGAGTGCACAGAGTCACCTGGAGGAAATACAGAAATAAGCAGAAACTGCCCTGGAAAAGAGACAAGGTTTGATCTTTTAGTGATCCCAAGGTCTCTCTATACTTTTTCAAGCCCACCAGTCTGCTAACTGTTGTGTTACGAGTGGGGTTATTTGGGGAGCATAGGAGAGGTGAAACCTGTGAGGACTTGTCCGGGGCCACCCTCTAACTGTGGACCCTGCCAAGGAGAACTGACTATATATATATCTTAAAAACAGTGTACTCCATATTGGTCCAGAAAAACTGCCACATCTAAATTGAGTTTAGCCATATGAAATCTCAGAACAGAAAGCCATGGGGAGTGGCCCTGCCCTTCCCATTCTTAGATTCAGCAAAAAACTGCACCGGAACAACAGGTTGCACTATCTACTTTGTTACAGAAAACATTTAGAGCTTAGTTCTTAAACACAAGCTGCAAAGTTTCAAAAAGAAGCAAGAGTTCTTCTTGGACTTGGAAAGCTTTCAGACAGTATGTAGAAGTTAATTTCTACTCAGGGCACTGTGGCAGTGCCAGATGCTGGAAAGTTTGGCTTTTTTTCTTTTTTAAAAAAACCCATACTGACGACACACTTCTGAAAATACAAATTAAGTCTCTCCAAAGAACTTCTTCATAGTTGCATTTCTATTGCACCCATCCTCAAATAAACCAATCATGAACTCTTATATTAAATGAAAACAAGCCAGAATGATTTTTAGCATTCCAGTTCTTCCATGCCCTTGACTGACTGAAAACAGTAGTGATGTGACTTTGATGATTATCTCATCTCAAAAAAGCTGCCACAGGAAAGAGTTTAACTGTTTCCACATTACTTTCTAAGAAGGTACACTTCCATGTGGACTTGCATGCATGGAAGTTTTAATCAGCTATTCCCATTAGTGATCCAGTGGAAAAAAGTACCCTGCAATGAAAATTTAGGCAGTGCATTGAATTTAGCCATCTGAGTTTTGGGGTAGAATTAGACCTTTATACTTGTCACCCAGACTTTCCCAAAAGATTCTCCGATGGGAGTGAGGGCATGTCATGATGAGATTCGTATACTGAGTGGGAAATGACTAGTGCTAGCTAATGACAGTGTTCATGGCAGCAGCTATGACAGCTACAGGGATGAGAACGGGGTATGTCTTTTTCTCCATTTGCTTCCTTGGATTGCAAAAGAGGTCTTGCAGTGAATTTCAGTACATCAACCTTCATGAAGTACTTTTACATCTTCTTTCAGACCTACAGCTTTCAGAAACTGAAATTACCTGAGCTTGCATGTATCCTAGCAAGGGTTCTAGCATAGCAATTTTCTTTTTGTACTGAAGAGTATTTAATGCACAGAAATAATGCATCATAGTCTGATGCTGTTTTTTCCTGGAAGTATATACATCTTCTGTAACTTCAGCCTTGATCTAAAGAGACACAGACAGGGGGAGGGGGAAAAAGGAATGTTTGAGACTTGGCATTCATCACCTGCCTTCTGGACAGCTTTATAGCCAGCATGGAAAAAACAACACAGTAAACCCTCTACCATCAGCAATTGCCTATTTTACCCTACAATTCTGCTTCTCTAACTTATACATGAGAGATACATGAAAAACAAATACAGCATTCTTCTCTCCCTGGAATGTGCAGTTATTTCTTTACAAAAATAAATTGAATATAGTATCACAACCTTAATCTTAGAGCATTTTCAATGTTACAAGACAGGCATGTATTGGGGAAACCTGCTTTTCTGTTCTGAAGCAACCTGTCTAGACTGCTAAAACATAAACTATCAACCTTCAGGTGGAATCTACCATACATTGTCTTCCATCATAAATATAAATATTAGATGAAAATTATTTCTTATCTCCTAAAAATCTTTATATTAAAAGTATTTTGTTTTACGGACCTTTTCATTTTCCCTTCTTTTTGACAACCGACTGTATCTGGTAATGGCAGCATCATGGTCTAAGCAATCAAGAGAGAATTTATCATCATTTTGATAAATTAATGACTTATGAAACAGAGCAGAAAACCTTTTATATCACTGTGTGTTGCACAGCCAGCTGAATGCAAAGTTGTGTCATATTAAAACCTTTAAGAATTGTTCTTGCCTGTTTATAATTACTTCACTGACATAAATACTTGGGCTGAAGAAAAACTCTAACCAGATGCAAACGTGGCCAAATTGTTACAGATTTCCCTAAACATCTAATATTCTTCAAAGACAGAAACCTTCTGTAAGTAGAGACAACTTCCCGTTATGAAAACCTGTATCTAATCTTTCTTGCTAATGAAGCAATTTACATTAAGAGAAGCAGAATCCTTACTTAATCCTTACTTTAAAATATGTTCTCCACAAGGATATAGTAGAGCTAGCTAAAAAAGTAACTTCTGACAATAAGGAAGAGAACTATCAAACTAATTTTAGGGAGGTAAAATTTGTTTATTAATCCAGTCCTGACTTTAAGAAGTGAGCTAGCACCTTACTCATTTTAGTAATTTTGGTAGCATAATCCTAAATTATTTAATAATTATACATACATTTAAAGTATTGTAAAAAAGGCTAATACTGTCAATTTGCCTTAACGCTTCAGTACACAAAGCAGGGATTTACAAGTGAACCAAGGAAAGCTGGGTGCCTAAGTATCTGAAAAAATATTACACCATAATTAGTCACTTTAAGCCGTGCAAATATCTTCACTAGTTTTCTCAGTAAATAATCTACAATAATACTGTCATCTTGTATTATCTATAACATTAAGTATTTTACACTTACCATTGCTTGCAATTTGGAAAACTTCTTTTAGAGTTAATATCTCTACAAAACAACATATCACAATTTAGAGTAAGTTGTTATTAATGTAACAGTTATATATTACAGTTTCTCATGCAATGTTTCACTACTGAACAGTTGTAGTTCACACCTTGTACCATACTGAATTACCAGCACAGGCACTACGTGGCCAGGAAAGTCTGCTCCTACTTAGGGCCTGAGTATCATTTATGTGGCTGTCCAGCTTACCAAAAAAGATACTGTACTGTAATAAGTTAAGGAGGAACTTCTTTTCAAAAGACTTTGAAAGAGATCATCAATACAAATGCGTCATCTATAGTTCTGGTCAGAGTTCTGGTCTGAGTTGGGGAAGTGGAAGCACAGGAGACGAGGAAGTAACACTGGACCAAAGGAAAGCCCCAAACACATTGTGATTCCTCCTACCTAAAATTAGTCATGGTCTAGATGGTTATTTAGTCTCACTGTGTCAAGAAACAAAAACCAGTACAATACTTAGCACTTGTTCTGATCTTGACTGTGGTTTTGTGTCATATTAAAACATAAACAAGAGCTATGTTCAACTTCATGGTAAAGCAAAGACAAAAAAACCATGGAAAAGCTTTACAGAAAGTGCCTATGAAGTCCACAAAGAAGTACGGTATCATTAAATACTACATTAGCTGGTGGTTAAAAACTTCCAGTGGGAAAATTTAATTTGCGATTGTTGCCTCAGGGGTGCTTCTTCAGTAAATATTAACAGGAGATTTTTCCGGGTTCTGGGGAGTAATATTAGCCTTGAGATACTCATGTTCCCTTGCTCAAAAAGTATAATCTATTTAATCCATAATTTTGCAACAAACTATTGCCAAAGAAGTATTTTCCAAGATTCATAAAGAGCTAGAAGACTTATGAAAGAGTTGTAATTTTTATTTCAATTTAGACTTAAAACATTCATATGTTAGGTATACCCACTCTAGGATGTTCATATTAGGGATTTAAGTTATTTTGGCTTTAACTCTTGTAATTTATATTTGAAGCCCATTTGCCACACCAATCTATTCACTTTAGCATCTTGAGTAAAATCTATCATAATCAGATACATTATATATTATTTTAGACCAGGCAGAATAAGATACAACTGTTATAAAAATAAGAAGTTGGAAGCATCTTATGCCTGCACGTAAGAAGCCACCTATACTACCAGCAGGGCTGAAGAACCACCTTACTAAATCTTAATAATATAGTAAGTACTACAACTTCGGCACTTTGCCTTTTGAGTTTACTCCAGCCATTATATTGATGTCATGGTATTATAATATATACAAATATTCTCTGAACATGCAAATTATCTGAAAAGTATTCTTTCCTAATGTTTACAGTAACTGCAAAATTTTAATCTTGAATAGAAGATAAGTGCTTCCATACTATAAGTAATATTTTTGTTGAAACAGTAATAGTATTAAGTTCTTCAACTGTAATACTCTTGTGAATAGAAATAACTTACATTTTTTTAAAAATTGGGAGGTACATACTTTTGAGAGCTGAAAAATAAGTGGCATATTCTATTTAGTGAAACAAGAGCTATGGAGATTAAATGCTACGTTTTTGTTATTGCTGCTGTTGATAAAAACAGTATTTGTTCGAGCACTCTACCTTTTAGATCCCTTTCTTTAAACTGGCTAATAGGAAACATCATTGCATCCGCAAGTTGAGTTGAAAGTACTGCATGGCAAGAGCTGAGCTGTAAAAGACAAGAGAAAGAAGGAAATTTTAGGAAAACAGTGCTGAGATTAAAATAAAATAAAATAAAATAAAGATAGGTTTCCATCAATTTCACTCAAAGATGACACGTACAACTCAAACATAATTTTGCACATTCATTTTTTTGCAGCTATTCTTTTCTAGGTTCCTGATCTCATCACCAGCTTTTTATAGAAAACCTTTAGAGTTTAGTATTTGTCCCTACTTTTCCAACTTTATTCCAAGTTACTGGATCATGTCAGAAGATGGCCTCATACATTCTGATGACTAGTCAATTTATTTCTCCAGTTTCCCTCCAGCTACCTCACAGCCCATCTTTCACAGGTTACAGAGGTAGAACAGATGTGTTCTTCCTCCCAAAATGCTGTTTAAGTAGTGTTAAAAGTGAGGAGAGGGATCACAGAAAAAATCCTGATGCAGATCTTAATGGTGCTAAGTTGTCTTTCAGAAGAGTCAGTCTCTGTCCCTAATCAGGCAATACAAATATCCTCAGGAAAAACAGTTTCTAACTGCCATTCTGTAATATTTTTTGGCTTTATCTACAGGAAGTTAAACTACATTATTTCTCAACAATGTATCCTCATTTTGCTGAATTGATTCTTTATCTTCAAGTTACATAACTTTAAATATATACTACCATTAAGTGTTACCATATTGACAAATGAAAGCCATTTCTGTACCTCCTATCTTAAAAAAGGCTGGAATAATTAAGCAAGTTAAAGTCTACACATGACAACATTAGCAAAGTAAGTGAAATACAAGTACTTGCCTCATCTATCACTTTTGCAAATTGCTGTAAAGTGGAAGTCATAACTTCATCATCTCCCCCTAGTGGAAAACGCTAAAAGGCAAAGAAGGCATGTTGTTTGCAGTGTCTTCTGCCATTCACAAAACTATATTAATCATGTCTATGAATGTATTGGGTATTCCATTATTTTAAAATGTTATACAGTTAAGATACACTGAAGCACTTCTTTATTGCCCTGTGAAGAAGGAATTTTTTTGGGGAGGGAGAGTAATAAACAATTCTCATTAAAAACAAACAAACAAACAAACTAAAATAGATCAATTAATGTATAAAATCTATTAATTAGATTAATTAATAGATTTTATTTAAAAAAATCAGGAAAGATGCAGACTTGACATCTATGAAGATTTTTAACCAGCTTTGCAAATTATTTTAAAATTATCAAAAATTAAGCAATATTTGGTGTTCATCTTAAACTTCTAGCTCTTAAGTTACGTGATTATGTGAAATTTTTAAACCATCCAAAAGAGTTTACTTCTATAATGCCTTGATGGAGGCAAAAGTATGGCCAAAATGGTTACAACTGAAAAAAGAAATAATCCAGTTAAAACTTTAGTTATGTATTTTTAAGCTAATCTCCTGACTGGGAAAAAAGCAGCCCAAAGGAGACAGATCAGAAAAATAAATTAAAAGGTCCAATGCTAATTTAATTCTTCTTTTTATTCACAGCAGTCATACATAAAACACTTGGAAATATTAAAAAACCCAACTTCTTTATTAAAAATTTTAAGCACCTCCTTCCAGCTTGTTAGGTTCCCCCCTCCTTCCTCTCAAAGAATGTAACAAACTGTAACTGAAATAAGGATATTTGGTGTATATTTTGGTATCTGTAACTGCTAAAGAATAAGAGTATCATGCCCTAATTGGTTCTTCTAATCTGAAGCTAGTTCTTTTCATTTTGATTTTGCAAAAACTATGTTTTTGCTAGAAAACGGTAGAAACAGTGCAATTCATTAAACAGCTGTGTCATTAAAGTCAATTTGGTATTGTATCAACAATGTTAAAACAATTCAAATGACAGTACTGCAGCTACTTCTAAAAAAAAAAAAAAGCAGAAATAATTTAATTCCTGCTACAATTCAGACTGTGCACAGACACCTTAAGTAGCATTTCCAGTCTGTCATTAGGAATATAAGACTTTTTTTTTTTTTTAAAAAGACACTCTAAATCTCTCTGTTTCTCAATCGCTTCCTAATGGGACTACTGTAGGTATAAATACTCACTATTCTTTTGGATCAGCATCATTGTGGTTTTGACCCTATCTGCATTACACCTATTCGTTAGTAACAATTAGCAAAGGAAAAATAAAGTGTCATCCACCCCTCTAGAAAGACTCACCAAACCAAAATAATTCATAAATGGTACTTTTTCCAGTTCACCTTGTTAGGTGCAGAATGAGGATAGGGAGCGCCAGCCTCCTTAAAAGGAGTGACTTTTTGTTTTTAACATGCATCTCAGAAAAGGCGTCCCAGCAGCATAGCTACAAATAGGAAACCCTTCACAGTACAGGCTACCAGTGGAGAAGTTATGGATTCCACAACCCGCGCTTTCAGAGGTGGAATTATTCTCACAATAAGGGTAAATTATGGTTGTTAAATGGAGACTGCTATGCAATCTCTTCTCTTTGTGACCGGTAAAATTAAAGCACTTAACAGTAAACAGGTTTATAAAACAAAAACAAAAGCCCACCACCACCCTAAGCAACCCCCAAAACACTGATCCAAAAGTAAAATATTCCAGGACTTACTAATATTCATCATGGTAAGAGGAACTTCATTCTCTTTTAGTTGGAAGAACTAATATGAAGACAGTAGATTCTTTTGGCAAAGATTCGAGCCACCAACTACAGCAATTCATTTTATCTGGACCAAACCTAAATACATTCTACGTTGTGCTCGGGAAGATAAAAGACTACAAAAATACGTAGTCCTGACCACACAAAGACAACACTGATTTACACAGTACCTGTTTCTCATATTCCTTCAGAAGCTTTGAAGTCAGATGAGTTGCTGCACTTAATTCATTCTGATTTAAAACAAAACAAAACCAAAAAAAAGCTTGTTACTTTTTGATTTAAATTAATACAAAAAATTCACATATTTGAAGAGGAAACTATTACAGACATGGAACTTCTTAAAATCTCATTACAGATTTTCAGAAAACCTAAGCATCCTGCCTTTCCATTTCTCTAACATTACTGGGAGTTACAGGTAGTAAGTGTTTACAAATACCAAGTTCATGGCCTGTACTATGTGCACCGATTTCTGTATTTTTCATGTTATGCAGTGAATATTTGCGTTTAATTATTTCAAATTAGTTGCCCTGAGTATTAGGAATTTGTTATCTGTGAAGGAACAAAAAGATTACAATGAACCTCAGTACTACCTGGTTACAAACTGCTTTGTACTTGTACACAGACAGGACACAATTAGCAGGTTCATGGTATGGAACAACTTCATCTTTCATGATGCAGTTCAAGGAGAAAGTACAGAAATTAAAAGCTAAATGGAAAGGCAGTAAAATAAAACTACATAGCAGGAAACCTACAAATAAACACACTAGTCATTAAAGTAAAAACAACAGTAAAATAAAAATATGAAAAGCAAGAGTAACAAATCCCTAAAAAAGTCAAACAGTTCAAGTATATACAAATTAAAAATACAACCATAAACTCAATTGTTCAGAAAAACACACAAAATAGATTCTGCCTTCGGCATAGAAGTGCAGTTACTTATAGATGAGTAGTAAAACATGAATATATCATGGGTAAAAAATAATCTCCCACTTGGTACATACTATTATACACACTAAGATCATAATGGGAAACATTTTAGAAACACATGGGAAATACAATAAAACTACTAGAAGACCAGAAAATAATTTCAGTTGTCATAAGAAATTCTGTTGCAAAAGAAATCATAAGAATTTAGTCTTTACCACTCCCTAACATACAGAAAAACAATCATTTAATTCTTATTTTATTTCACTTCCACATTTAAAAAATGTGGAAGTTTAAAAAAAACATTGCTTATAATAATTTCAAAAAAGCAACAGACATGAAATGTGGTTCAGAAGCTTTATAATGCATTCAAGAATTTCATTAACACTACCTGTGCATCATATATTCTGTGCATGGCTTGAAATAACTGATTGATGTAATTGGAAATTGCAGCAGCATCTTCTTCAAATACTCCCAGCAAAGACCGGGTCTGTAAAAATTAAACAGCCAAAACACTAACATGTCAAGTTAGCAAAGCAGTATTTAAATGTAACAGAATTTCAAAGTTAAATAGCATTGTTTCAGGTTTAGTTACTGAAAAGTTTATAAACCCTCCAACACTGTTTACAGGAATGATACATGTTGCATGCCAGAGAATCTTAAAGATATCCACGCTCAGCCTCTCTCCAGGTTAATACAAGTACATTTTCAGAAAGGAAAGGACCAAGGGAGATGGATAAGCGTATAAAAGAGTTGGAACTGTGGGCAACTACTGGACTCACTATGGTACATCCCTAAGGAAAAGTGTAAAGGTGACTGGTATTGAATAGCATGCCAGGTATACACATTTCTTCTGCAGTGAGATCAAAACAAAGGCTGTGACATTCTGATACTACCCATCCTGCATGAAGACGGTTGCTGGCTGTGCTTGGACCTATAATTCACCTGTGCAGTAACAGTCAATTCTGTGATCAAAAGGCTGAGGAACTAAAAGCCAAACCAAAACAAAACAGTACAACCTACATCTTGTTGTTCTTAAGATACCTTTCTCCCCTGCACCACTCCACGGTGAAAGGGAGTGAAAAGATCTGTCCTTTTGTCCTTACCCCAGCTTGTCAGTCAGTCTGCTCCTGAGCTGGTGTCACCCACAAGCTTGATGACTATGCATCCTATTGTACTGCCCGCATCACTGATGAAGGTGCTTAACAGTATCCACCTCAAAATCAACCTCTTTATCACTGTCCACCTATTAGATTTCAAAACACTGATCACTACTCTTTGAGCCCAACTATCCAGCCAGTTTTTCCACCCAGGTCGCAGTCCATACCTCTCCATTTTGGCCAGAAGGATATTACCAGAGACCGTGTCAGAATCCTTGCTTAAGTCAAGGTAAATGACATCCACTGCTTTTCCCTGTGATGAAACGACTGACTCTGGATGAGAAGGCAATCAGGTTGCTCAGGCATAATTTGCCCTTAAGCTTAAATGAGATGCTGACTCAGTGTTCTTCCATCCTTTTTGCACTTGGAAGCAATGTTACTCCTCACTATGAGGATATCAAATAGCTTCCTTCCACCGAGACAAAAACCCAAAAGGGGGAAGAGCAGAGAATGTACCTATAACTCTGCACAGGCTACGGTTGCTTTTCCTGATCTAAAATATTGGTTGGGATGCTTGGATGTAGAAACAGGAGTATCGCTTGCAAGACCCACAAAATAAACCCTTTTAATAATGTTTTAGCAAGAGGACTGTGGTTTGGGTTTAAGTTTACACTAAAATTAACGTCCAGACAGAATATTGAAAGAATAAGTACATAACTGTTTTTTCCCCAAAAATTATGGTTGTTAAACCTTTGAAATTGGAAATTCTCTTTCTTAGTCTTCCCTAGGCTAAATAACTGTAATTTCCTCAAAGAGGAAAGGAGGGAACTTATGATACCTGGGAAAAGAATGAAAGACTGACACAACAAGTCTGGACATCAGGAAAACCTCTCTGATGAGATTAGCGAAAAGCACTGGATCGCACTGCATATGAATTATGGGGGGTTTATTATTAGAAGTTCTTGCTATGTTGAAGACTTGTCTTGAAATGACTTAGACTTTAGTCCATCTCCCCTTGAAGCACGGAGGCCTTTTTCAGCTACTTTTCTGCTTTTAATGATAATCAAGGAGTACATATTAAACCTGTATAAAGTATATTATTTGACCATTCTTTTGACATGAAATTCTTTTATTTGACTTGAATTAGATGCCTTGTTGTCTCACAAATGTGATCATACCATATAATGCCTACAAGATACTTGAATAAAAACAAATATAATCAAACAGCATCATCAACACAATAAATCACTTTAATGGTGGTTCTAGTTTATAAAACAAGTGGAAAAGCGGGGTGGAGGAGGAAAGAGCTGGAGGAGAACTCAAATGTTTGCCAGGTGTGGCAACATGTTGTGTCATCCTAATAGCTGTGACTCTCCCATTAAAGGAAACACACATGAAAGAATGCAAAAGAAAAAATTACGTAGTACCATAACCACTGAATTATATACTCATGACCTTTAAACCTGAACATTACTAAACCTGAACATAAATAAACCTGAACTTGTAATTTTAAAGGAATATCATGTAAGGTTTCTGGATTATGCTTACTCTTTAAAAAAGAACACTGTAGAATAAAAGCATTTCTATGTTTTATAGTAAAAATATCAGTTATTGATGCCCAGACTTCAAACTGACATTGTATGATATTGATGGAAAGAAAATAATCTGAAACTGTAAACAAGTTATGGCAGACTATTGCTTAGCAAAAAATTAGTGGAATTGTTTACTCATGTTTCTAGTAAAACTTTGCATCATTTTGCATGTTCTTTAAGATGCTTTCATCCCATATATATGAGCAGATACATTAGAAACTACCAGTGATAAGCTGCACAAAGAAACCACCTAGTTAGAAGTCAGTGAATTGTTAAGTATTCTATGTCATCATATAGAATCATAGAATCATTTAGGTTGGAAAAGACCCTTAAGATCATTAAGTCCAACCATTAATGTAGCACTGCCAAGTCCACCACTAAACCATGTCCCTAAGCACCACATCTACACGTCTTTTAAATACCTCCAGGGATGGGGACTCAACCACTTCCCTGGGCAGCCTGTTCCAATGCTTGATAACCCTTTCGGTGAATATATTTTTCCTAATATCCAATCTAAACCTCCCCTGGCACAACGTGAGGCTGTTTCCTCTTGTCCTATCGCTTGTTACTTGGGAGAAGAGACCAACACCCACCTCGCTACAACCTCCTTTCCAGGCTAAACAACCCCAGTTCCCTCAGCCGCTCCTCAGAAGACTTGTTCTCCAGACCCCTCACCAGCCTCGTTGCCCTTCTCTGGACA